AGCTTATCTTATAGCGCTATCGATTTACTTATTGAGCTATCGGTTTGTCAATATGTCTTGTATGCTGATATTAATCCGAATTGTATCCTTATTTCCGCCAAATATCTGTTTCAAATCGGGTTCATATCATGATCTTGTGATGCCGTTTTGAACCCGATTTGCCTTATTTCGACCTGTGTATAATTTAATACACCATAAAATCGCTCATAACTATTTGTCAAAATAACATTAAATAAAAGCAATCTTTTTTATTTCCTAGTATACTTAATTAAAAATCACTCAAATAAATCATGTGTTAAAATTTTAAATATAAAATATCCTCTAAAAAAGGACTGTATGCTTGTCCAATACTCCAGATTTGACGTGACAGTGTCAGCCATATTATAATGTTAGTCTTTATTTAAATTTAGGACCATTATTAATTTTTGATATTCTTTGTTTTTAGCTAATGCGTAAGAAAATATAAATGGCTGTGTTTGTTGTTAAAACTTATAAGGCTCATTATTTATTTAAACTTTAAGCCTATTGTTTTTACATACATACCTGAAACATTATCAGATTTGCCAGAAAAGAAAAATCTTTATCCATATTTTATATATTCATATGTATAAATAAACTAAATTTTTTAAATTTATTATTTAAGTGAAAAATGAAGAAGGTTCCGATCTACCCTGGACCATTTATAGAAATGCTACTTGAATAAACATAAATAAGCCCTAAGAAACGTGATTGTCGATTTCTTTAAGTGCGATAAAACTCTAGTAATCATTTAAATATGAATTCCTTTGAAGTATTTTTCACATTCTTATTCTTCTTGGCCCTGAATGCTCAATCTCATATAATATTAGGAGAGGCTTCTGTTCATGTTACTGATGGATGTGCAAGAATTCATAATGAATTTATTACAAATCAGAAAACTAATTTTAGTTATATCGATGTCAAAGATTGTTATGAAAGCTATCCATTTGATAAAGCTGTTGCCTCTAAGGTATTTTATATATATATATGCGCATAAATATTACATTATACGCAATGTATTCTGATCAATCATATGATATATTTATATGCTAAATTTCAGACGATCGATACATTAACCGATCTTATCGGTGGGTTCTACTCATTTTTGGATAAAGCAAAAGAACTTCCACAACCTGGGTATGACTTTAGACCAATGGATTTAATAGCTGAATTAAATCTTTTTCGGAATAAATCTTATGCAACTTTATATGATTTTACAGTAACCATTCAATTTTCTTTTTATACCAATTTAATTATTATTTGAATTTTACACTAACATTCTTATATAATAGATCGATATTAAACATCTCTTCAATGATTTAAAAGATGCTCACACAACATTTATTTCAAATTGCTTTGAGACATTTGTTTTTTATACAAATATGACATTTTATTCCGTTGTTGATGATGGAAAGCAGGTAATTTATGTTTATCTTTGTCAAATTTCACTTTGTAATGTTTTAATTCTGTTTTTTTTTTTTTTAGAAAATTAAAGTCTTTAATGACACTATTGACCGATCTAATATTGATTGTGAAGTAACTCATATTGATGGTCAACAAGCATTCCAAATAATTTATGAATATGCCAACAAATCAGTTTATTGGTCAAGAGATCTCGGTGTACGATTTAATATAGCGCTTGATCATGCCCATGCAAAAAAATCTTTTGCCATACGTTATGAGATACCAGAGAAGCCAGATATCACTTACACACTTAAATGCGATAACACTAATGAATTTAATGTTATAAGAAACTGGAATGCTTTTACTATTAGTTCAATTTTAGATAAGTTTAATGATTCAAAATCCTATTTTGATAATATTTGTAACCCTATCAAAGAAAGCAAGCAACCTGTATCTTTTAACCCCAAGCATCGAAAAATTACAAAAATAATCGATAATGCTAATGGTATATTAGCAAAACAAGACCAAAGTGTAACCACAATAAGAATTGTTAATCAATTTGTTGAATTTTACAAAGTGAAAGATTTTGGTGTTGTAAAAATAATTACTGAACAACCCAATACATTAACTACAGATGAGACCATAGCCATATTTCCGAAAGTAATTCAAGGATTTAAAGAGCTAGCGAATGCGGGTATTAAAAAGGTAATTAGCAATCTTGTATAATTGGTTTATTTCATTCATTATATCAATTTAAAGCATATATTTATTTTATTGTATATATATATTTGTATATATATTAATTATTAAGATTGTTCTTGACTTAACTGACAACATTGGTGGATATTTAGTGACTACCATATATTTCAATTTACTCTTATTCCCTAATACTTATCCTATGTTTGCCCTTGATTTCCGAATTTCTGAACAAATGAGACTTGCAACTACTGAACAATTTAAACTTGCAACCTTAAATAATGCTTTCGATATGAGCGATTCTGTTAATGCAAAAACTCATGCTAATTTTACAAGTGCTGATGAGCTCTTTGGCAATAATGTTTATATACGTGGTGGTGTTATGGGAAATTATTCCAATAAATTTGTAATAAGCGACTCTTATTTGAATGAATTTAAACAATTTATTCAAAATTTTACTACTCCTTTGCCTTGGAAATCTGAAGATTACATCATTTTAACTAATGGTTTATGTGGTTCTGCATGTGCTCTTTTTGCTGAGCATGCTGCAAAATTTAATAATGTTACTACTGTTGCTGTTGGTGGAATTGCAAGCAATCCTTTATTATCTTATTCTTCATTTATTGGTGGGGCTGTTTTTAACTCAATTGAAGTATTTGAATCATTAGATAAATTAGCTTTACTAAATAATAGTTTAATGCCTAAATCTTTTCCTTTGGCTGGAATGGAAGTCACTTTTACTACGTATGAAGCATACAGTAAAATAAATTTAGATGAAATATTAGAATTTACATTTAGACCTGCTGACTTTAGATTATTTTATAATGAAAAAAATATTAGAAATGTTTCTATTTTATGGTCTCAAACTGCAGCTTTAATTGGATCAAAAAGATAAAAATTAATTATATTCTATTATTAATTACAATTGTAATATTCTGTTATATTTAATTAAATAAATTTATAATCAAATCAATTTGTATATCTTATTTTGAATTTGGTGTGTTGTTGTTTATGCTGTTAATACAACTATTATGAAGAAAAATTATAAATTGATTAGAAGAAAGTAGAATAATTTGTAGTAAAATTGGAATGTATTATAGCATAGATACAGATTGTAATAATTGTTTGGCACGTTTGAAAATTAAGTTAGAGATAATATTTAGATATGTATAAATAATATTCAAGAATGAATGAATAAGTTATCATCTGAAATACTTAAATGTAATATGTGTGCGTTTTCTACTTCACTACATTATATTCAGCCTTCATGGTCACATATTAAAAAAAATCTTTTTTCTAAGTAGGCTTTCTATTTGTCTTCTATATTATATTATTCGCTTCTTTAGCTACAGGGGTATATCATTTAGAGAAGTAAATATAATTAATTTTTTAAATTCTAAGCTTTTTTATTTTTTATTTGTATATTGCCTTAAAACTGTGAGTCGGTCATCCAACGAAAGTAACGTCGTGTAACCAAATTTAGGGTATGTAACGCGGTATATGAAATTGTTGTAGGGTATATATTATAATAAATGAATTATACTTTATTATTAGCGAAGGTGAGAATTGTCTTTCTCGGTGAGCCAAAATGGCCTTTACTTATAATTAAAATATACTTGAAATGTTATCTATACGCCTATATTACTTATACTATTGAAGCTATCGATGCGCCTAATATCCATCCACCTGATCGTTTACATTCGTTGCAACGAATGTAACGAATACGACCAGGGAGCCCAAATTTGTTTGCAGATTTTCTTGCCAAATAACCGGGGTAAATTTTAATTCTATAGGCCTGGAGTTGGTCACATGTATAAAATTAAAACTGCGGATTCAGATAAAATGAATACGTTATAGGAAAAATCAGAAATTTCATATGTATAACAAGAGGAAATAATCTACCTAAGTTCAAAAAAAAAAACAATCAGATGATAATTTATGGTCCTATTTATATGCTTGACTTTAAATTTGAGTGGCTTTTTGATTATGAGACTGGAGTTTTTTTGTGACATGACTAAACTTCATACCAACTTAAAAGAGAATTATTATTTAAATGATATCAATATTTCGGTTGATAAATTTAAATTATTGCAATGGTTTTTGAATTGAAAATTAATTATATATTTACTAAATATTCATGATTTATATACATTCACGAAAAATATTGAACGAATATCCGATATTACATGGATACACAAAATGATCAAATTGATTATATTATTCACGACCACTATTCACGAACTTTATTCGTTTTTAATCGTGGTTATTCACAGATCCTACCTATAACTATGAACTCAAAAAAGAATTAAAAAAAAAACAATGATAAAAAAAGCAAACATCACAATAGAGAACTAAGAACCGAATATTATGACTGTGAAGTAGCCATTATTGATTAATCTAAAACTGAAGATAGTGAATCCAAATCTGAAATTTTAAGAAAGCACAAAAAAAAAACTCTTCATGAGGTATTAAGATTTTTTTATTATTATCACCACGTTTTCAAGTTTATATAACTATATATTATTATGTTTTTGGCACTTGATAGTTTTGAAAAATCTAATGGTTTCGAAGCATTGAATCGAACTTTATACCTATCCAAAAATGGTGGATGGCATTTAAGATTTCGAACAAGCAAAAAAACTTACAAAACTTGGAGTGATCGTAACAAAACACATTTATTGGTAGCAATTAAAGTTTTATACGTGTATTTAAAAAATTGAATTTGAATATAAAGCATTTAAATGTTTGAATTGAATGTACCGTATAGACGACCCGGCGTGACAAATAATGTAGATCTATTTTTAAAATATTATTTATATATTACGTGATACGTAATACACGTGATTTAAAAATTTTTCAATTGTAAAAAATTGCATCACACCGGGTCGTCTATACGGCAGTTTACGGTAATTCGACTTAGAGTTTGCGGAGTAATTAAGTAAATTCCAATAGATAATTTCAATAAAAAAAAAAAAGCTTCAATTATTTTTTTCAAAAACCTTGTGATTCTGTTATTATTGTGCTTAGATTTAAATTTAAAAACCGATTACGTCATGATTTTGGCGGTGATACTAGGTGCGTTTTTACATAAAGATCACGAGGCTGATACTTTTTTTTTTGACTTCATACCAATTTATAAATTAGAAAGCTATTGATATAATTGCATAATATCTCATATTATATCGATATTTCAGTTGACGATTTTATCTGTTATAGAATATTTATTATTATGCTGAGCAACGGTTTCAAAAGTAAGCCTGTTTTGTTTGTAGCTGAGTGAAGAAAAAGTCTATAGTGGCTTCTATACACTTTGACTTTAAATCAGAATGTCTTTGATATCACGAATCTATCTTTTTTGTGACATGACATGACTAAGCTTCAAACCAATTTATAATTTAGAAAAAATTATTTTAAAATTTGATCTAAAATTGTATATCATACAACATTGATATTTCAATTGATGAATTTAACTTAATTATATAATTTTATGCGTAGATTTATTATTGTTTATGCTAAGTAGTGGCTTTAAAAGTTCACTAATTTGCTTAGAAGGTTTCAAAAAATAGGCTTATTGTTATTATTTGAATGGAAAAATGTTTTAGTGGCTTTGAGATTCATTATCATATAAATGTATGATTTTTTTTCTTTCTAATTAACATTTTTTTTGATTCTTTTCAATTTTCTAAAAAGAAAAATATTTTACGAACGAAAAAAAAATGCAATTTGTAAAAGTCTTAGCAATTTTGATGTTAATTGTCCAATTGACAGTTATTATCCCTATCTGGGCGTTTAATAAGCGAGGTAATAAATAATAAAGTCATTGTTACTAAAATAATAATTCAACGTTATATAAATAATGCATCTAAAGTATAATATGTAATTAAATTACTAGTACTTTGTGAGTATAAACCTATTTTATTTATTAAAAATTTTATTATCCTATTATTAAATAAAACATTTCTAATTATTAAATATATTACTAGATGGTGAATACAAGACTATTTATGAATTAATAGTTTATCTACATGTACTTAAATAAACCCTTTCAAATTATTTATATGTAAATTAAATTACTAGACGGTGAGTATAAGACTATTTTATAAATTAAAATTTCTGAATTTTAGAATAATCATATTAAATTAAACCATCTATTTGTTCATATGTAAATTAAATTGCCAGATCGTTAGTATAAAACTATCTTATGAATTAAAATTTTATAATATCTAATAAAATATTTCTAATCATATTAAATTACTAGCTGGTGAGTAAAGACTATTTTATGAATTAAAAATTATAGTATTTTATAGTTCTATTATTAAATAAGACATCTCTAATGATTTATCTAAATTAAATTACTAGACGGTGATTATGATTATTTAATAAATTATAAACTTAATAATCTACTATTAAATATACATCTTAATTTATATTCATATTAAATTACTAGTCCGTGAGTATAAAACTATTTATAAATTAAAACTTTATAGTAATCTACAATAAGGCTAATTTTAATTTTAAATTTTTATAATCATTATTATCATATAAAAATTTTTAATTGTTCAATTGCTAATTAAATTACTAAATTAAATTACCAGCTGGTGAGTATAAAACTATTTCATGAATTAAATTATAATAAGATACTATCAATAAAACATTACCGATCATTTATATGTGAATTAAAAATATTAGTTCGTGAGTAAAAAATCATCTTTATAAATTAAAAATCTACAATAACCATATTAAATAAAATATCTCTACATAATTATTTAAATGCAAATTAATAGGCCGTAAGTATAAGATCACTGTATTTATAAATTAAAATTTCATAATTTACTATATATTAATTATTTAATTATTTATATATGTAAGTATAAGATTATTGTTTATAAATTTAAACTTTATAATAATCACTATTAAATAAACATCTCTAATTATATTTTAGTCTGTGAGTAAGACTATTTTATAAATTAAACTTTATAAAAATTTACTATTAATAAAAATATCTAATTATTTATATGTAAATTAAAATTACTAGCCCGTGAGTAAAGAATTTTTACAATTAAAATTTTACAATTATCTAATTAAATAAAACATCTCTACATAATAAAATTTATTAAATAAAACATTTAATTATTTACATGTAAATTAAATTACTAGGCCGTGAGTATAAACCTTTTTATGAATTAATAACTCATAATACCTACTATTAAATGAACTATTTTAAATTATTTATATGTAAATTAAATTATTAGGATGTGAGTATGGACCTATTTTATAAATTAAAAGTTTTAGAATATTTTATTAAATAAAGCGTTTCAAATTATTTATATGTAAATTAATTACTAGATGGTAAGTAAAGGTGTATCTTATGAACTAAAAATTATAGTATTTTATAATTCTACTATTAAATAAGACATCTCTAATTACTTATATATAAATTAAATTACTAGACGGTAATTATGACTATTTTATAAATTTAAAATCTTATAATGTTAAATAATATCTCTATTATTTATATGTTAATTAAATTACTAGAATGTAAGTAAAAGTGTGTTTTATGAACTAAAAATTATAGTATTTTATAATTCTACTATTTATATGTAAATTAAATTACTAGCTGGTAAGTAAAGGTGTATTTTATGAACTAAAAATTATAGTATTTTATAATCCTACTGTTAAATAAGACATCTCTAATTATATATAAATTAATTACTAGAGGGTAATTATGACTATTTTATAAATTAAAAACTTAATAATCTATTATTAAATATACATCTCAATTTATATGCAAATTGAATCATTAGACCGTGAGTAAAACTATTATTTTATAATTAAAACTTTATAATAATCTATTATAAGGCTAGTTTCAATTTAAAAATATTCTAATCATATTAT